TTATGTAATTACGACAATACCATTGTACAAATAATTATATATCGTTACTACATTTATTATGTAATTACGACAATACCATTGTACAAACAAGTATATATAGTTACTACGTTTATTACGTAATTACGACAATACCATTGTACAAACAAGTATATATAGTTACTACCTTTATTACGTAATTACGACAATACCATTGTGCAAACAAGTATATATAGTTACTACCTTTATTACGTAATTACGACAATACCATTGTACAAACAAGTATATATAGTTACTACCTTTATTACGTAATTACGACAATACAATTGTACAAACAAGTATATATAGTTACTACCTATGTGTAATTCTTATTTTCCACATAAAACTATATTTCACGTTATTATCTTTTATACGTCAAATAAACAAATATGCTTATCATTGTAAAATTGGTGTTTTAGATACAAAACTTTCACTGCATTATGGTCAAAAACAAGAACTCTTACAGACAATGATGACCAAGTTTTTACCTCCTGAGAAAGTTTGAAGTGTAAAGTAATTTTCCCCGATTAAAATTGTAATTTTCAAAACAGATTAATGTTACATCCGTCCTTTCTAATAAACTAACATCGTTAACAACTTGAAGATAATCACGTACAGCAATATGGCTACATTTCCGGTCGAATCTTCATCTCACTTTTTTTCAAAGATTCTTTTGAACCTTTAAAACCTTCCCAAATGAACCCTTTCCAAGGTGAGGTTTCACCACCTGGTACATAGGGGCCGTTCAGGTTTGCATTCAAACAATCTTTAAACCACCCACCACTGTCGTAGTCAACAGCGCAGCTTGTAGTTTTTTTGTCATTGTCCCTATCAAAAGTGGAAAATTCAGAATTGTGGGCTCTTCCAGTCAATGAGTCTCCTGGCAAAAAAGTATTAATTAACAAACAGTAAATAGACACAAATTGGATGGTTTGGTTAATTTCGTGCTACAGGAGGGTTATCTTCGCTAGCCGTTCCTGATTTAGCAGTGCAAGACTACAGGGAAGGCAGCTAATCATCACCACCCACCGCCAACCTTGGGGCTACTCTTTTACCAAAGAATAAAAATTAACCGTACTTAAAAACGGTTTTGGTAGATTCTGATGGTTACTAAATGTAACTATAAGTTCTGGTGTTTGCTAAGTGTAAACATTTAGATTGGTTAATAACTATGTTGGGTTATTATGGTTATTAATACATGGTTTATGAATGAGCAGTATTTAGCCACTGTATTTGTAACTCTATAATAATATAACATAAGTATGTTGTATCTTTGTGTAGAAATGTCGCACTATTTATCTACTATAAAAAGCGTTTTTACTGTTAATTTATGATACTAAAACAAGCTGTCATGGAAAGAAAGATTGAAGAATTAACATATTTAACATGATTCAAACAATAAAATTCTCTATGATACGGAAGTCTGATTATAAATATAACATTTTATAAAAGAAAATATCAATATAACACTCCTCAGTTGAGAGAATAGATAAAACTATCAGGAAGGAAAAAAAATACGGTAAAAATCGTTCTTACCAGCGTTTACAAGATAGGACCCAAACGTTAACCTGAAGTTTTCTCTCTCACTACGTACTAAGAAGTTACTGTATTTGGCATAAGCTTTTTCACCACCAAATGTTTCAAGATCTACCCGGAGTTCCATGTGGTGACCGTTAGTAAGTATGAATATCAGTTCATTTCCTGTACCAAGAAACACCGATTAGTGGAGAGAACTACTTTAACCACAACAATAATGAAATAATATACCTTTAATCATCAGGTACTAAGTGTCAGTGTAGCATCAACATAGTAGACTTACGTTCGTCTATGTGTTCTGGTTATCGCTGTTGTTAGTTTAAATTAATATTGTTACAACAGCGACAACAGCGGAAGTCACATTATGCTGGTAACACGTCATGAGATTTTAGAAGGATCATGAAGGTCCGAGCGTTTGCTAGACGCCCTCTATTTTAGTATATAAGCCCGGCAAATAAAGCGGAAACGAGAAGTGACGGCATAGATAATCGCAGATAGGGAGATATAGAGACAGATAATCGAGTCAAGTGGTAAGTACAGTGTGTCAATCGTTGTGAATTATAGCGTGTGTTTAAGTTAAAGTGACTGTGGAAATTAAGTGTATTGCAAAGTTGTATTGAGAAAGAATAAACTAGTTTTATTTAAGAAAGGACCTGTATTGCTGAAGTTCTTCGGAAATAATTTTTACGGGAAATTAACAAACGACCAGAGATGTAACAAATTGGTGTCAGAAGTGGGATGGAAAAGAGAAAAAAATGGAAATGAAAAGTGGCAAATCAAACTACGACTTAACAGATTTGATGGCAGCAATACAAGAACAGAAAGAAACAAGAAGAGAGACTAGAGCAGTGGTTGGAGGAGGAAGAAAATAAACAAGAAGAAAGTCTCCAACTGTTGAGAGAAAGCCAGCATACACAAATGGAAAAGATCAGTAAATTTCAAAGTGAATTAAATGCATTAAAGGATGATTTACTGTATTTTACACAGGGACTATATATTAACCATGATCTAATCAGCCCCAGACAACAGGAAGCCCCTTCCAGATCCTGCAGCTAAACCCTAATGCAAACATCTTCGATCCTGTCAGAAGTCACATTCCAGACATGAGTGTCAGCAACAGAAGTGATCTACTACAAAGGAAATCACAGGAATTCGAGCACAATTTGAGCACCTGGCAGAAATGAATGGATAAACAGAGGAGCAGAAAGCAGTGTACCTAGGAACGAGCTTGAAGGGAAACCACTGGAAATACTTGGACAGTTGTCAGCAGACGACAGGCACAACAATAGAGCACTGGTAGGTACTCTACAGCTTAGGTATGGAACTCAAAATCAGTTTAAAGTCTACAGGGCTAGGTTTAGGACTAGAGTCCGTGCTAAAGGGGTAAGCCTGCAAGAGCTGGCACAGGACTTGGAAAGTATGGCACACAAAGCCTGCCCAACTGCACCACCCGATGTCCTCAAGCTGTTGCTGAGCGATCAGTTTGTAGACACCTTGGACAGTCCACAACTGACGATACAAGTGAAGCAAGCACACCCCTCTACTATACGTGATGCAATGGCCAGAGCTCTTGAATTCGAATCCTACCTTAAGTTCTGCACAGAGGTACCAAGGTTGATACAATCATCAGGATTCAAGGGTAGAAGAGGACAGGTTTCAGAGAGGTTTGAGGAACTTTGCTGGCACTGTAACAAATCTGGGCACAAGAGAGCTCAATGCCTGCAACTTCAACACAGGGAAGATGCCACACCAGGAAATGCTGCTACCCAGAAAAGTTGTTAGAACTGTGGAGAGCAAGGACATATGAGGAGCCAGTGTAAGAAGAATACTACCAATAAGTCAGTCTTGGGGAAACCAGTAGTGGTTGGTGTTGAGGGACGCCCATCAACCCCCATCGTGAAAGTCCCAACAGCTAGGTGTAAAATGTCAAGCACACATGACAGGAAAGCTGGATGGCCAAAAGTGCAACTTTGTTATAGATTCTGTATCTCAGCAAACCCTTATGAGTATCAAGGTGGTAGACCACAAAGGAGTACCAGAAGCCATACAGAAGCTTTGTGGTTTGATAGGACATTATGCAAGATTGTGGGGACCAGTGAGAGTAACTTTTGAGCTTATGGGCATGAAGGACAGACACAAAGTATACTTGGCCTGCATTGAAGCCCCATGCATATTAGGGTTGGACTACTTACTACGTAGGAAGTGTGTAGTTAGTTTTGATAAAATGGCATTTGGGAACAACAAAGACCGAATTCCATAAATGTTAAAGTGGAAGTTGAACTAACCAGGTGCCATCAAGCTGAAGTCAAAGTAACTGAAGGAATTGATGATGGTGAAGTGGAACCAAATATAGATATTAAAGCAGAGCAGGAGAAAGACCGAGATTTGAATCCAGTAATTGATTTTTTACAAGCAAATGTTTTGTGCCCTGCTTGGGAAAAGGTGTCTAGCTTAAGCCCTGTGATAAAGAACTAT